GTGCCTCCAGAGCAGCATCTGTTTGTTGAAACATCTGAATGGGTATGCCGTCAATTCCTGAAGCCTTGTTTTTTTCTTTACTTCCTTCAGTGCAGCTTCAACTTCTTCCTTCAACACCCTTGGTTCTTGATCATATGCCATCTCCTGAAATGGATAAAGATCAAGCAATTCTTTTTGGTACAATGACTCTGTGTATCCCTTCTATCTTCTTCTGATGTTTCCTGCATCATTCAATATATTGCCCATAGAATCTTTCAGTATTGCAACTCGAGGCTTAATTTTTTTTCTTTCAGTTCTTTCAGCTTGAGAAATGCCAAGCATGTTCTTCTCTTTTGGTTTTCTAACTCCAGGTCTTTACACATTTCATTATAATAATTGACTTTGTCTTCTCATGGTGCTCTTTGAAATATTTTGTTCAGCTCTTTTCTATTGTCATTTCTTCCATTTGCTTTAGCTACTCTTCGCTCAAGGGCAAGTTTCAGAGTTTCTTCTGACATCCATTTTGGTCTTTTCTTTCTTTCTCATATTTTTAATGACCTCTTGCTTTCTTCGTGGATGATGATCTTGATTTCCTTCCACAATTCCTCTGGTTTTTGGTCATTAGTGTTCAATGCATCAAATCTATTCTTTAGGTGGTCTCTAAATTCAGGAGGTATATATTCCAGGTCATATTTTGGCTCTTGTGAACTTGTTTTAATTGTCTTCAACTTCAAGTTGAACTTGCATATGAGCAGTTGATAGTCTGTTCCACAATCAGCTCCTGGGCTTGCTTTGGCTGAAGATATTGAGTTTTTCCATAGCCTCTTGCCACAGATGTAGTCAATCTGATTCCAGTGTACTCCATCTGCTGAAGTCCGTGTGTATAGCTGCCATTTTGTTGTTGAAAAAAATATTTGTAATGAATAAGTAGTTGATTTTGCAAAATTCTGTCATGCAATCTTTAGCATTATTTCTATCACCAAGGCAAAATTTTCTAACTACTGATGATTCTTCTTTGTTTCCAACTTTTGCATTCTAATCACCAGTGATAATCAGTACATCTTGATTGCATGTTTGGTCAACTTCAGACCATGTTGTTGTTGTTGTTGTTATGTGCCGTGGAGTCAAACCCGACTCATAGCAACCCCTCCTTGGATTTCTGAGGCAGTATCACTACGGAAGTAGGATTGCCCAACCTTCCTTCCGAGGAGTGGCTGGTGGGTTTGAACCGCCAGCCATCTGGTTAGCAGGCAAGTGTCATAGCCACTATGCTACCAGAGCTCCCTCAGACCATAGAAGTTGGTAAAAATCTTCACTTTGGCTTTCATTGTTGGTGCGTACATTTAAATTATAGTAGTATTAATAGGTCCTCCTTGTAGGCATATGGATATTATCCTATCACTGACAGCACTGTACTTCAGGATAGATCTTGAAACATTCTTTGTGATGATGAAAGCCACTCCATTCCTCTTCAATTTGTCATTCCTGGCATAGTAGATCACATGGTTTTCTGATTCAAAATGACCAAAACCTGTCCGTTTCAGCTCACTAATGCCTAGGATATAAATGCTTATTATGCATTCTGTTTCATTCTTGACAACTTCCAATTTTCCTGGATTTATACTTTGTACCTTCCATGTGCCAATTATTAATGGATGTTTTCAGCTGTTCTTCTCATTTCGAGTCATGCCACATTAGCAAATTGAGGTCCTGAAAGCTCTACTTTCCATATTGTTAAAGTCAGCTCTACTCTGATGAGATAGCTCTTTCCCAGTTGTATTTTAAGTGCTTTCTGACCTGAGGGGCTCATCTTCTAGCACTGTATCAGTTAATGTTTCAAGGCTATTCATAAAGTTGTGCAGTAAACACATCAAACAATGTTTCACTGCCATTCATAAGGTTTTCACTGGACAATTCTTTGAGAAGTGAATGATCTCTTCCTTCTTCTGAGCCTGTCTCAGTCTGAAAGCTCCGCTGAAAGCTGTTCACCATGAGCAACCCTGCTGGCATTTGAACACCTGTGGCACAGCCTCCAGCCTCACAGCAACATGTAAGCCACCACAGGACAACAAAATGACAGACAAATTTGTCTCCGTTAGCTGTTCCAAACAGCTGCATTCATTTTCTGGTCTTCCCCCTACTTGTTCTGCCCATCTGCCTGGCTCCTACTTCCTACCTTGGGGCTCTCCCCTTATATGTTCCAGTTCCATTGGCCCTGGGGGCTCTCCCCTTACCTTATTATATAACTATATCTCTATACATACACATCTATCTATCTATCTATATCTATATCTATATCTATATCTATATCTATATATACGGGAGCTCTGGTAGCATAGTGGCTAAAGACACTTGACTGCTAACCAGAAGGCTGGCAGTTCAAACCCACCAGCCACTCCTCGGAAGGAAGATGGGGCAATATACTTCCGTAGTGATACTGCCTTGGAAACCCAAGGAGGGGTTGCTATGAGTCGGGTCTGACTCGACGGCACATAACAACAACAACAACATA